TTTTGCGGTACGCGGGCCTCTCACCGTTGTGGCCTCTCCCGTTGCGGAGCACAGGCTCCGGATGCGCAGGCTCGGCGGCCATGGCTCACGGGCCCAGCCGCTCCGCGGCATGTGGGGTCCTCCCGGACCGGGGCACGAATCCGTGTCCCCTGCATCGGCAGGCGGACTTCCAACCACTGCGCCACCAGGGAAGCCCCCGCCTCTGCTCTTGCTGGAGCCGCCTCCCTCCTGGGCTGCCCCTCCTCATTCCCCCGGCCTGGTGCCTGATCTCATTCTGGGCTCACCAGGACCCCCAGGGAATTGGGGCTCTGGGATTCAAACCCAGGCTTGGCTCAAGACTCACATCTCAGTTTCGAGCAGGCACCGGGAGGGTGAAATGAGGAACCTCAGGTGAAGGCTAGCAGGTGCTGGTCCGGCCGCCCCACAGGTTTCCGTCTGGGCACGTTTGGGGAGGGGCAGTTGAGAAACCTGGCCCCCCACCCCCGCTCTCTCCAAGCGCCTCCTGACCCTCCCTACGGTCCTGGCTAGTGAAACAAGAAGGAGGTTCAGAGGGGCTCCCAGCTCGAGCTGGGCAGGCTTCTCCACCTCTCTGCCTTGTTTCTGCACATGGGTGACGAGGTGGCCACAGCCTCTTTCCATCTGCCATTCAGATCAGATTAATGCACGCAAAACAGTTGACCCTGCTCAGGAAGGTGCTGTCCTGCCACGGCGCAGGACTGGCCTGGGTACAGGCACTGGTGAGCCCCTCAGACACTGGCTGGTCAGGAACGGACTCCTACCTGTCCCTCGTCTCCCTCCCTCAGAGCAGGGCAGCGGGGTCCACCTCCTTGTAAAGGCAGGAGTGGGCGGGCCTGGGGGAGGCACCTTGTCACACCGCTCAGAACCTGTGCTCCCACCCTCTGCTTCTAGATCCTTCTCCAGAGCCCTGCCAAGGCCGACTGGGCAAACACGTTGCAGGGAAGAATGTGCTCAGGACCACTCTCAGAGCTGGAACCAGAACTTGACCAGGCCCACTGGGGTCCGAGGAGACCCCACCCCAATCAAGCAGTGAGGTGGTGGGCACCATGCACGTCTCAGGGCAAGGGGTGACCTCAAGGCAGAAAAGGGGCTGGTGCTGAGGACAGTAGTGACCACCCCTCCTCTGGGCTGGGGGAACCAGTGTCCAACCCTTGGCGCTTCTCCACCCATCTGGGTGCAAGGGCAGCACCCACCGCTGAAACTCCAAACCTCTTCCCTGTTGTGCTCCATGGTTCCCCCAGGGTCTTCAAAGGGGCAGCGGACGCTGGAGGGGGCTGCTTTGGCCAGAAGGCAGGCTCGGGGTGGGGGGCATTCAGGACGGCCCTGGAACCCTTCGGGTCCTGATCCATGTTCTAACTTCACTTTGAGCACTTGGTGGGTGTCGGCTGTTGTAAAGCAGAACCTGCGTGAGCAGCTGCCCCCCGCCGTTGGTGCGCTCAGCCCCCAGAAGCAGGAAACCAGCTCCTTTCAGCGAAACCCTGGCTCTCAGTCTGCATCACGAGTCAGAGGTTTGGGACTTGCCATTCTCCTTCTTCAAGTGTCCAGTGCGTGGAGAGTAGCCACCACATCTGTGGTCCTTGGTTCCGCGCGCCCCTCGTGGTGGTGCTGCCTCCGCGGCCCCAGCCTCACCTTCAGTGGGCTCTTCGTGCCAGGTGACCGCTCGGGATCACTGCTGTTCTTCTTTGACCCTCGTGGACCCGTAGGCCGCTACAAGAACCTAGGCCCTGCTTTAAGCCCGCTAGCCCTTTTGGTCTAGTGCTAGGATTCAGCGCTCTTACTGTCATGGCCCTGGATTTGATCCCCAGTCAGGAAACTAAGATCCTACTTCAAGCCACTGTACCCTGCAGCCCCTCAAGATCAATAAGAGAAGCCATTTTAGGCCTAAGCTATTTTGTGATCTAAGCCTGGCCACAGTGCTTGCCCTTGACCAGGCCAGGGAAATAACTTAACCATAACAGAGACAACAGATCAGTCACCAAGACTCCCAGTTCTGCTTCAAAGGTAAAGAGTAGCCTGACGCACATTCTTGAGCTATATTACAGGGCTCGAAGCCCCTCGAACAATCAGCCACCAGACTAACTGGCGCCAGAAAACTGATGGTGCTGACCTCTGCTGGCTGTCGTGACTTAATCCCGGCCTCTGCCGACCCAGGATGACTCTTGAATTCAGTGACTCAACAGCACAAGCGTTTTTGCACCTCTTCGCTCTGTTATCATCAGTTTTTGGAATAACGCCCCTCAAGCTCACAAGGTGGCTGCTGCAGTTCCAGACATCACATACAAGCACGACAACCCAGAGAAGAAGGGGACCCATGTTTCATGCCATGATTTTGTTTGGTTTTAGTCATAACCACCATAGAGAAAAATGCTCCAATCACAAATTCATGCTGATGAATTTTTACAAAGTGAAAATATCCATGTAATCAGCCTCTAGATCAGAAAACAACTCACTAAGAGCACCTCAGGAGGCCCTGTCATGTCCCCTTCAGTCACCCCCAAGGGTGAGCAGCATACTGATGTCTGATGCCGTGGATTAGTAGCGCCTGTCTGTATAATTGGAATCCCTGTCTGGCTTCTTTTACTCACGGAGGCCTCTGAGATTCATCTGTATTGTTGTGGCTGGATATCATTTGCCTCTTTCAAGTGCTACACGGTATTGTGTCACGTGAATATACCACAAGTTATTTATCTCCCTACAGTGGACGAGCTTTGCATAATTTTCTGTTTTGGGCTGTCTCAAGTAGTACTGCTATGAACAGTCTTGTAGATGTCTTTTTGTTTCCTTCATGAAAAGAATTGTGATATAATTTACATACGGCTAAGTATATAAACTTTAAGTGTACAGATTGATGACATTAGATATATATAACATATATGTAGCACATATATAATATATATACATAGATATGCAATGTAGCCACCACTCACATCAGGATGCAAAGCATTCCAGAAACCCGGAAGGCTCCCTGTGCCCCTCCTGCCCGAATCTATCCCCTGAAGTGCCTCACAAATTGTTCCTTTTTAAACCCTGTATAAACGGCATCAGCTACTTTGTGTCCCATGTCTCCTATCCAGCCTTGTGCTGTGAATCACCCACACAGCTGTATGTACTGGCAGTCCATCCACTCCCATGTTTGTTGCTGTGCTGTGTTCCATTGTACAGAAATACCAGGGCCGTTGCCTAGTCTACTGCTGGTGGCATTTGGCCAGTTGTGGCTTTTATGCAGGACACTGCTCTGGACATACTTTACACATGCTTTGGTGTAAATAAGTCCTCATTTCCATTGGGCAGAAGCTCTGCTTGTTTCCTCTCCCCCTAGGAGTGGCCTCTCCCTTGACCAGAGCCAGATCCACAGGCTCCCGGCAGCCCCAAGACAGCGGGGGAGGTGGTGGTGAATTTTCCGGTCGAGTCTACAGATTTCCCATCTCGGGAATTTTAGTCCCTCTTGTCCTTATTGCTTCTCCAGGTTTCTAGTGTCTTAAAAGATGGTTTCTGTGATTTATCTGCCTTTTCTTGTCTTCAGTGGGAGCATGAACCTGCCACAAACGACTCTGTCCTCCTGAGAGCAGGGTCGGCCAAGTTTCTCCTTTACGGTGAGGGACCTTTTCCATAAACCCTCCCTTCAGACGTCCTCTTTGGCCAGAATTGCTTTCTAAGCCTTTGACTCAACTAATTACCAACCGATGTTTCACCCCACCTAGCTGACAATAGGAAGGATTTACCCCGGGCAGAGGTCACCTTCACAGAAAGGTGTGCACCTGGACAAAATTTGGATTCTGTCCAGGAAAAGGGTGGATGGACATTAGGGAAGCAATGGGGCCTAGTGGTGTTCATGGTCATTGTCCAATCAGAATGATGCTAGCCATGCACAGCCTCCGCAGCTGGGTTAGAGGTGCAGATATGGACAAAGTGTCGGGGAGAAATCATCTGAGCATTTATGAAGCCTGACGTTTTACTAAGATTTCTACCTGCATCCTCTCACTTAGCCCACGTGCTGACCGCATGCATCAGGGATCCCATCTTTACATGGGAAAACCAAGGGGAGCAGAGAATTGCCCAAGGTCACACAGCTGGTGAGCAGCACAGCTGGGACCCCGGTCCTTCTATGTCTGTTTTATAAGATGCAAAATTTCTTTTGATAGCGGGACCCAGCAGGATGACACCGGGAGAAAGAAAGGCAGAACTCTGTAACTTATAGTGTGGCCACACGGGGTTGCACCCAGGCGCGGGGTACTGCAGGCTGGGGCAGCGTGTGTGGCCTGTGGCTGGGGGTCAGCTGGACCACTGGGCTGTTCCTCACTGCCTGGTACCCGGCCGTGGGGCGGTTAGGGTGGGTGTACAGTGGCCTGGAGTGTGAGAGCTTTAAGGAAAGAGGTTGGGTGTGCACTTAAGTGGCTGCTCAAGAAGGGGAAATGACCATCTCTAGCCAAGGCCTCAAAACCTGGTCAAGATAGTACAGTCAAAACTATATTCGCTGACAACAATGATTGCTTTTGTAATAAGAAAAAAAAAACCCTCTAAAAGTAAAAAGATATACAAGCAAAACAAAACAAACCTGTATTACAGCAGAGCTGGGACCTGAACCCAGGTCCTTCTATCCCCAAACTCCCATTTCCCCCTGTGACCGGTCCCAGTATCCCCTTTTGGGATTCCTAGATCCGGACTAACTTAAAGGAAGACAAATCTAGTTAGTGGCACAAATTTGGGGAATCTAAAAACTCATTCTCATGCAGTCACTGAGACATATAGGGACAGGGTCCAGCCCCTCGCCACGTGCACATTATGGAAAATGCAAACATCTTACTATAAAAATTTCCAAATGTTCACAACAGTAGAGCCTTGTGATATTGTGATTGATAACAGGAAACATATTGGTCTTCACCTGGTCCTGGCACAAATCCCCAAACTCTTGGAATTTCCTAAATGACCAGAGTCTTAAATGTGTTTCTTGTCATATTAATGAGGTGACTTTTGGAAAGCCCCTCGGTTACCTAAGGAGGGGGCTGGTTGCCAGGAGAACCAACTTTGTGGTTAGAGGGTTCCAACTTTCAGTCCCACCCCTAGATGTCCGGGGAGGGGAGAGGGGCTGGAGGTTGAATCAATTGTCAATGGCCAATGATTTAATCAATCAGGGTCACAGCAATCAGGACAGTGTTGTTTCTGTTTTTGTTAGTCCTTTAGGGTCAGTCCTGTCAGTCCTGTAGGGTCTGCCCCATCTACTGGGGGTTGTAGCACTCACCAGGTGTTATATACCTCTATTTGTGGTTCATCTGAGTCCGACGTTTGGTCATATTGGCCACAGGGCCTGGGGTCTGGGGTCCCTGGGGCTGGCCACGGATGAAACCTCCTGAGTGCATGTATGAGAACAGACCCCCTAAGGAGCGCCCGGGCAGGGACACCCAGGAGTGTCCACATGGGGTCAACTCCCTGTGACTTGGGGTGTTTTTGTGTGAGGATGAGGCCAAGTGGCTCACCATTCCTTGCACTGGTCTGGTTGGATCCCGGGGTGGGGGGGGCAGCTGCCTGTCCCTCCCGGACGATCTGAGTGTGAGCGGGAGAGGAGCGCCCTGCTGTCTGCCCAGCCCAGGAGGCGCCCCCGGGGACTCGGAGCTCAGGATGGCCAGCCGGGGCTGTGGGAGGGGCACCTTCTTCTCTCACAGCGCCTATCGCACTCTGTACTGCTTTCCTGCAGCTGCTGCAACAAATCACTGTCTTGTGGCTTAAAACAACCAAGAGGTTCCATGGGAGGACCCTTCCTGCCCCTTCCAGCTTCTGCGGGCTTCAGGTGTCCCTGGCTGTGGCCTCATCCCTGCGGTCTCTGCCTCCATCACGTGGCCCCTCTCTGTGTCTGTCCCTCTCCTCTATCTTATAAGGACACCAGACATTGGAGATGGGCCCTGCCTTCCAAATCCAGGACGGCCTCGTCTCGAGATCCCTAACTTAGTCCCACCCTCAAAGACCCCTTCTCCAAACAGGGTCACCTTCACAGATTCTAGGGGTTAGGAGGTGGACACCTTTTCTGGGGCCACCATTTAGCGCCCAGCAGTCAGCCTGTTGGCTTCTCCCCACTATTCTGGGGGTCCTGGGGGCCCAGAGGCTTTCTTTCTCCCCGAGTTCAGCAGCACTTCGGGAAGTGTTCGCTGTGTGAATGTCCCTGTCAACCCTAGGCTGGTCCTCTCCGTGAGGGAGTGTGGTCGGGTCACAGCCACACCTACAATCTTGGGCGGCTTGGAGGGATTCTGATGGCGTCGGCCAAAATACAAGGCAGAAAACCCTGCAGCACAGCTCAGGTGTTACCCGAACCTTGCCCCTCTCCTGCCAGGGCCTGACCCAGAGGACAGTCCCCTGCTTCTGTGCGCTTCGGAACTCCAGATGCGCAGCAGCAGCCGGTGGGTGAAGAACGCAAGCCTCTGACGCTGTCTGTGGTCCTGACCACCTGAAGCGGCTCTGCTGTGGGAACAGCTGGCCACCAATCATCCCGACCCTGAGGAGAGCATGAGATGGGCCACAGCCACATAGTCACCCCAGGCTGTGGGTACTTGTCAGAGGGTCTCTGGGCAGGGTGAGATCCTGGCGCCCCTCGCCAGCATCTGGGCATCTGGGCCAGGTCAGTCTGGGAGGAGGGAGGTCAAGGCCAGCGGTCACCAGCTCCATGGGGGGGCTGTCCAGACTGAAAGGGCCAGGGCCACACGTGGGCACATTCTGCTCTTTCTTCTGCTAATCATGACTGATTGTTATTCTTGTTTGCAAAAATCCTGGTAGGGTGACACCATCCCACGTGCACTGGGAGGAAGGCAGAGTAGCTCAGAAGCCAGGTTAGGGATCTCTGTCCCCCTGGCAGCCAAGCCCAGCATGGGGAGAGCAGGGTCTTTGCTCTCTGAGGAGCAGGCCCAGAGCTGCATTCCCCAGCGTTGGCCCCAGACTCCTCGGACATGACTCTTTGGACATCTGGCTTCTGCCCCTGTCATGCCCAATCCAGTCCCTACTCACCTGCTATCTTTTGTTGCATAACAAATTACCCCCAAACTTAGGGGCTTAAAACAGCACTGTTCATGCTCTCGAAGTGTCTGTGGGTCAGGAACCCAGGTGCTGGGACATCGGGCTCACATTCTCTCACGAGGTTGCTGTCAAGCTGTCGGCTGGGTCTGTGATCTCATCTGAGGGCTCAGCTGGGTGTGTGTGTGGGTCCACTTCCAAGCTCCCTTGGGTGGTTGTTCGCAGGCCTCGGTCCCTCTTTACAGGGTTGCCTTCGAACACGGCAGCCGGCTTCCCCCAGGGTGAGCAATCTGAGAGAGTGAGAGGCAGAGCTCGCATCAGAAGCCACGGTCTTAATAATCCAACCTCAGAAGTGACATCCTGTCACCTGTGCCACACTGCTTTCACTACAAGTGAGTCCAGCCATGCTCAAGGGGAGGGCACGATTCCCTGGCAGTCCGGGGGTTAGAACTCTGCGTTCTCACTGCCGAAGGCCCAGGTTTGATCCCTGGTTGCGGAACTAAGATCCCACAAGCTGTGCGGAGTGGCAAAAAAATAAAATAAAATAAAAAAGGGAGGCACGAGGACAAGAATACCAGGGGGCCGCTGGGGGCTCTGAGAGCCTGCCCCACACACCACCTGTCCCAGATGTTGGGGTGGGCTGCCCTGCCTTAGGTCTAGCAGGGATCTTCCAAGTATCTGGACAGAACTTTGGACAGAACTAGAGATTCCTAGTCCAGGAGTAAGTTGGCTGTGATCAGCAGGGACCCCCTCCCCGCCACCCAAGTGCCACCCACATCCACCCTATACCTGCACAGGGAGTCAGAATCCAGCTGACCAAAAGGGATACAGGCTGGCCTCGTGGCAGGGCATCCAGGATATCTGCCCTGCCTCCAGTCCCATGGGGAGGCTGTGTGTTAACTCTGAAATGCATGTGTCAGTTCTGACAAGGATGACTGGCTATGGACTCTGCCCAGCCTCAAGCCTTGCCTGGCTCCAGAGCTTTTCGGACAAAATCCAGCCCTTTTCTCTGCTGTGGCCTGAGCCATCCCCACCACCTCCCCTCCCCTCCCCCCTCCCCCAACACTCCTGCTCGCTCTTACCTTGAAGCTTGCCAGCTCTCCTCCTCCACGCTCACCGGCTCCATCAGAGAGGCCTTGTCCACACCCCCAGGGCTCTCTCTTTACTGCTCATCCCATTCTGTAGCCCCTGTCAAGTTGCCCAGCTGTCCCCTGCTTGCCTTCGCTCTCGCTGGCACGCGCCTTGGGCCAGGTGCATGGTGAGCTCTCTCCCTGTGGGTCTCGTGTAACCCTCACACACTTCCACGTGGTTACTAGCAACACCCTCATTTTACAGACGAAGGGACTGAGGCTCACGGGGGTGGGGGGGCATGCAGCATACCTGAAGCCACACACCAGTGGGTGGTCCTGGGCTGTCTGCATAAATATTTGTTGGACGAATGAGGGCAGGACTGAAGGAACGACCCCAGCACTTGCAGGGTAGCCTTCGTTTACTCAGCACCCAGCAGAGACCGATTCCAGGCACAGGGGACAGCAGATGCAAAAGCACAGCACGACTAACGCCTGGTGGGACCGGAAGACGAGAGACAAAGCTGAGAAACTGGCCAGAGCCGGCAGCGGAGGACCTTGAACGCCCAGACCGGGATTTGGGACTCGCCCTCTTGAGTGTGGGCGTGGCTGAAGGCAGCAGTCCCTGGGGCTGCCGCTGCTGGTGGGGTCGTCACGGGTGCTCCGGGGAGGAGAATAGCCTCGAACAATCGAGACCGTGATGGGGCTGGGGAGCGGAGGGCCCAAGGGCTGTGAACAGGGCCCTCTGCTAGCACCTGCCACCCGTTACTCCCTCCCTCCCTCTCTGCGTCTTTGTGCCTTGTCCTTTCCTTTCGCAGTAAACGTTCTTCTTCCGAGAAATTCCAAGGGGATCTCAGCCAAGCAGAGGGGGAAGGGATCCTGCCCACGCCTGGGGAGGGGAGGTAGAGGTGGAGGGAGCGCCCGGGAACGGGTGGAGGGAGCCTGAGCCGGAGAGGGCTGGCGCGCGCTGGCGAGCAGGGCGCCGGCTGGCCAGGGGGGCCCAGGACGGCCCGGGACGGTGACCCGGCACTGGCCCTGAGCCCCAGGCGCCTGAGTCCTTGAGTCTCCAGCCTCCCCCGCCTCCCCCCGCGCGGCCCCCGCCCCGGCTCCGCCCCGCCCCTCGCGCGGGGTCCGTGTCTGCGGCTGCGTTCCCCGAAAGACAAGGCTGCACCCGGCTTCCCTTCCACAGGGAGACCGAAGGGCACCTCTCCCCGCGCCGCCCGCGCTTCCCGGAGCCCCGGAGTCGCGACACCCCAGGGATGTGAGTGCGCCCCCGACCTGAGGCCCGCGCTCCACGCTTAGATCCGCGGTGAGAGCTGAGGCTCGCACGGGGAGACGAGGGGAGGAGGCTCCGCGCCGGGTTCCCGGTCCCCCCCCCGCCCCCGCCCGGGGTGGGGTGGGGACGAGGCGCCCGCCCTTCCCCCCATTGGCAGGTACTGTCCACTCGCATCTTGTCCTGCCCTTTCCTCTCCGGACGCACCTATCGCTCCCCAGGGATAAGACGCGCCTCCCGACCCACCCTCCTACCCACAGGTGCGGAGCGTGGGGTGCGGGCCTTTCGAGCTGTCACCCTGCCGGAGAGGGCAGACCTATTTTCCTCGGGGGGGATGCAGTGATGGTGGATGCTCTGGGGGATGGGCTGGGGGTGGGGCTTTGAGAGCTCCCGGACGACCCCTGGCCCTGGATTCCAGGGAGGAGGTTGCGTTAGGATGCCAGAAAAGGGGAGGGTCCTTCGAGCTGGGCCGGGACTTGGTCTCCTGATCGAGGCTTCTCCCTGCCAGGCCTGTGCCCCAGACGACCCCAGCCTGCAGCCCCCGCGCCTTCCTGAGGCCCGCCTGGAGCATGTTGCCTGCGGCCATGAAGGGCCTCGGCCTGGTGCTGCTGGCCGCTCTGCTGTGCTCTGGCCCCGGTGAGTCTGGGGGCGGCTGGCGGGGGTAGGCCAGGTCGCCTGAGAGCCTGTATGAGGCAGCTCCGGAGAGAGCCAGGTGTGGGGCGGCCATTCTCTGACGATGCCCATCAGACACACACCCGCTTCGGAACCCAGCGACCCCAGCCCAGCGCTCGCCTGTGTGGCCCCTGCTGGCGCTGCCCCAGCTCCAGCCGCCCGGGTCTCTCCTGGCTCCTGAGGGCATGGGTCCTTTTCCTCCTGGGTCCTGGTCCAGCGGCTGCTCCCGGCTTAGTGCCGGCTTGCTTGTGTTCCATCTCTTCTCAGAGCCCCACCTGGCCTCCCATCAAGTCCTGTTTGGTTCTTCCTCCACCGGAACCAACTAGACTCTGGAGGGATGTGTGTGAGGGGGTAGGAGTGTGCCGGAGGGCGCCATAGGTGTGATACTTGTGGCTATGTGGTGGCACCCTCACCCCACCCTGCCCAAAGGCACACAGGTGGTCCCAGCCTGTCCTCCGGGTGCTAGATTGTCCTGGTCACTCCTGGTCAAGGAGTGCCGGCCTCCTACAGCTGCATGGTTCTCCTAGGACATGCAGCGAGGCAGGTGGGGAGGACGCAAGGGGCTGGCTGGCTTGGACCCCTGTCCCTCTGGTCATCCTCCTCTCTGTGCCCTGCCCAGCTCATGGCCTGTGGTGCCAGGACTGCACGCTGACCACCAACTCCAGTCATTGCACCCCGAAGCAGTGCCAGCCGGCAGACACGGTGTGTGCCAGTGTCCGGATCACAGATCCCAGTAGCAGTAAGTCAGGCTGCGGCCTGGGGTGGGGAGGGGTCGGCGGTGTCATCGGAGTCCCTCTGGCCTCGGGCAAGAGCATGGGTCTGGGGGCAGGGCACTGCCCTGCTGTGTGACAGTCAGCAGACGCCTGACCCTCTCTGGCCCTTCTGTGGCCCTTTTCACGTAGCTGGGGACAGTGTGGGTGGATTGAAGCCTCACTTCTGTTGTTCTGGGGTCCTGAGCTGACCTGGAGGGTCCCTGGCTTGGGTCCTGGGCACCAGGCAGAAAGGGCCCTGTGGGGCTCGAATCCCAGGCTCCCCTCCCTCCTCCCCAGGCAGGAAGGATCATTCTGTGAACAAGATGTGTGCCTCGTCCTGTGACTTCGTGAAGCGGCACTTTTTCTCAGACTATCTGATGGGCTTCATTAACTCTGGGATCTTGAAAGTAGATGTGGACTGCTGTGAGAAGGATTTGTGCAACGGGGTGGCGCTGGCGGGGCGCAGCTCCTGGGCCCTGGCGGGGGGACTCCTGCTCGGCCTGGGGCCCACCCTCCTCTGGGCTGGGCCCTGAGGTCCCTTCCCTCCCGCAGAGCTTCTGAACTCGTCCCGCCAGACCTGAGCCTGTGGCTGCCCCCTCCGCAGCCTGGCCTGGCTGAAGCTGGGGGCAGCCTTGGCCTGTCCACAGTCTGTGGCCCCCGCCCCTCTCTGTCTCTCCACCAGCTCCAAGTCCCAGCCAGCAGGACATCTCCAGGAATCAGGCGTCCAGCAGGAGGCTGGGACCCCGGGCCTCGGAGGGGAAACCAGGCTGAGCCAGGCCCCGCCCGACAGCCTGGCTGTGAGGGCATCCTCTACAGAGAAGTAAAGTCACTTCTGAGTCCAGAGACCCGGGCCCGAGCCTGGGTGGGGATTTTGTTTTTGGGGGGGGGTTCCTGGCAGAGAAAGGGCAGGGGGCGGGGGCAGGGAGGGCAGCGTTCGTCCCCTGGGGGCTGTGGTGTGGAGCTGCCAGGGGACCGTGGGCCTGGTAAAGTTTGGGAACAGCCTGAGGGGCGGTGAGAGTTGAGGTGAGCAAAGTCACAGGGTGCGCCTGAGGGCGAGGCCTTGCAACGGTGTGTGCACGCACTGGGGATGGGGCCGTGCCCAGACTCACACCTACGCCCGCAGAGGGCACGCTCCTCACCCACACCACGCTCTCACGTCGTCACGTGCTCGTGCCCACAGGTGCCCCACACGCCCCCACTGACACGTTCGCGTCACAGCAGACCCTGAACCGGTGTGCCCCAGCGCAGGCAGGTCCACACAGGTCCACATGTGCGTGCGCACGGGAGCATACAGACATGCCCGTGTGTAGGTCTCCAGAGCTCTCTCCCCGCTGGGTGGTGATCAGCTGCCCTGAGAGCTGTCGGGGCCCCTTCAGGCTCACGCGCGGACCTCGAGGTCCCAGACCCAGAAGCAGGCACACCCCCGCCTCCACCCTGAGCTGGGCGCCGCTGTGGGTAGGGTCTTGAAGGCCAGTCCCCTGACCAGGGGAGGGTATGGCACAGATGGCCTGGGTGCTTCCCGTGGGAGGAGGCTGACCGTGGAGGTCAACCTGAGGCTGCTGCTGCTTTCCTGGCCCTTCCTGCTCCAGCAGTGAGCCCTCAGTTAGCCCCTGCACCCCTGAGTCCAGCCCAGCCTCCACACCCACTGGCCATGAGGCTCATCTTGTGGCCTAGGCTCACCACGGGACGCTCGGCGGGCACTCCAGGCCTTCTCGGCCAGTTCTTCTTCATCCCTCTGTGGCTGACCCAGCCCAAGGTCACTCCTGGGTCCTGGACTCCCTGGAATGAACGATACTTCCTCTCAGAGCTGGCCTTGGCATTCCTCCCTGGGCTCCTCTTCCGGAGTGATGGAGAGGGGTCTGGAGGTCCTGGGCGAGTGAACCAGTGGGGAGAGTGGGGTCACTGGAGACTGGTATCAACTTCCTGCTGGTGGAAATGGCCGAGGGACTTGTCGGAGGGTGGTCTCCCACTCTGTTTTAAGTTTGCTCTGCTGCTCTGCGATGTACCCCCCCCCCCCACAAACCTCAGTAAAGCGTGCTATCCACAGTGTGCGTCTGCTGCTTTTGGACCGTGGGACCGGGTGCTGCTGGCGGATGACCTGGAAGACCCGTGCAGAGAACCTTGGGGATTCGGAGGAGGCCGGGAGCCAGGAGATCGGGAGCAATGGGAGGCCTGGAGGTGTTGGGAGGATGTGGACGGGCCACCCCAGGGGCATGGGGTTCAAACCAACTTTTACGTCAGTCTTTGCTAAATTTGTTATTTGAGGGAAGTGTTTAAAACACAAAAAGGCGTGAAGTTCTCCCAGGTCTTTTTTTTTTTTTTTTGCTGTACGCGGGCCTCTCAGTGTTGTGGCCTCTCCCGCTGCGGAGCACAGGCTCCAGACGCACAGGCTCAGCGGCCATGGCTCACGGGCCCAGCCGCTCCACAGCATGTGGGATCTTCCCGGACCGGGCCCTGCACTGGCAGGCGGACTCTCAACCACTGCGCCACCAGGGAAGCCCTCTCCCAGGTCTTTTAAGATACACGATTAGGATTGGACGGAGGGGCTTACGGCAGTATGGCCCAGATAACGCGGCCTCGACACCTCAGCTCCCGTTTCCAAGCAGCCAGAGCTGAATGTGTGCCCTGGCCTTCGCGAGCTGCTGCAGAAGGATCGAAGCCCACGGTCCGTGTGACGTGCTCGGCTCCTAGGCACACGCATAGCTCTGATAGGCCAGGGTGCCATGGCCTCCTTTTCTGAACCATTCATCAAGGACACTTTCCTGGGTCAGGACGTCTAGACGGGCCTTTCAGTGTCAGCTGCTGAGTATCTTTTGGACCAGGACTCATTCAGCTTCCCCTTGTCAGTGGGCACGGAGGTGCCTTCAGTGGTTTTCATCAGCAGTCCTGCCGTGACCGTCCTGGTCCTCATATGGTTATGGGGTCAGGCAATTATCTGTCACATCGATTCTGAGACAGGGGCAGCTGAGCCAGAGAGGACATAGACTTAACAATGAAATGGGTGCTCAGAAAAGGCCGTGTTGGGCTCCCCTGGTGGCGCAGTGGTTAAGAATCCGCCTGCCAATGCAAGGGACACGGGTTCGAGCCCTGGTCCGGGAAGATCCCACATGCCGCGGAGCAACTAAGCCCGTGCGCCACAGCTACCGAGCCCGCGCACCTAGAGCCCGTGCTCCGCAACAAGAGAAGCCACCGCAATAAAAAACCTGCGCCCCGCAGTGAAGAGTAGCCCCCGCTTGCCGCAGCTAGAGAAAGCCCACGTAGCAACAAAGACCCAACGCAGCCAAAAATAAATTAAAAAAAAAAAAGGCCGTGTCAAGCTGCAGTCACACCAGCTCCGTCCACATCACTCCCAGAGGGTGTTCTTCAGCTCTAGGACTTTTTGCCAGTCTGGCCGGTAGCATCTTACTCTGAGTGCTACTGAAGAGGTGATTAATGAGGTTAGATGTCCCAAGTGTTTGTCAGCCACTTGTGTTTCTTCTGTGACTGTCCAATGGCATCCTTAGCCCATCCTTCTATCGTGGCGTTTGTCTTTCCTTATGATTTGCAAGACCCCTTTGTGTGTTACGGAAACAGTCTTTCCCGTGGTGTATGTTTTGCAAATATTTCCCTGCGTCTTTGTTTTTGGTGTGTCACCGTACATATGCATGTTCTCGAGTTTCATGTGGTCAAATCTAATTGTTCTTTTA